CATATAGGAATGCTTGAAGTTATCCAGTCACTAATATGCAATATTCAGTAGGCATAGAAATATCTTCATGTAGTCATGAGCCCTGAAAAAAACCCAGGCTCCTGATAGTGTGTATGATCTATACGCACTTTCCAATGATGGTGAGAGCAGAGCTTCCTGCTAGCATGCCATTTCCCTCTCTCACAAACACACACATTTATTTTCCCCAGGAAAAAGCAGCTGTTCTAAGCATTAGGAATGCCTGCAATCTTTGAAGTATATTTTTTGAATGTCTAAATTAACTATTGTGCAACACATTCTTTATAGCAGCATTATGAATTTAAGGTTCTGTTTCTCAGCCCTTCCCTTACCCACTTCTGTGATTTACAGCTGTAATTTTAGCCGCAATGCATCTTTTGAATCAAGGCCTTAATAGAATCTGTGGTTTTGCTCAGACGGAAACATTGTCCCATATGGGAAGATTGTGTTTAGGCTAGCCCAACCCTGTGCTTTCTATCAATATTTGCGAATTGTAGTTCCTTACTCAAGGGAAAGTTAATGTCAGAAGATAGTTTCAGGTGAGTAGCCGTGTTGATCAGCACCAGAATAGGAAGATTCAAGTCCAGAAGCACCTTAAAGACAAAAGAGATTTTCAGCATATCTTACCAGGGAGCTTTAACTCTTGAAAGCTTATACCCTGAATATCACATTGGTCTTTAATGTCAGAAGTTTGCTTATTTTATGTGCTGATAGTAGATGAGCAAATTTTATTTTTTTAAAAATCTATTCAAATTAGTAGTAACCTAGATCAGCCTTCAAAATGAGAGCCCGTCTTTGTAAAGGCAGAATGTTGTCTTGAAATTCCAATGACTGGTGTAATCTCTTTCTTTCCAATGGAACTGCACCATTGTCAGTAACCCTTTATTGTATGTCTCACTGCTGTTATTCATGGAATCACATTAATTCTGGAGAGCATTAAGTGTGTGTGATGATTCTGATGTGACTAGGGTTACCAGACCCCCCTGGTTTGTTGGGGGTTGCCTGATTTGGAGGGGCTGCTTCCCACCCACCAGCCAGCTGGTGGTCAGGGGGAAAACCCACCCCCAGGAGCGACCCCAACCCCAAGAGCGGCGCCCCTGCCTCTCGACAGCAGCATTTAAAGGCGTCCTTTAAATGGTGCTGGGAAGGAGGGGCATGGACCTGCACTCTAAGCCCTGAATTTGAAGCTTGGAATGCCGGTACGCGTGGCCTTCCCTCCCCCAGTCTCTCCCCAGCATCATTTAATTAAACACTGCTGGGGAGAGGCAGGGGGCCACTCCCTAACATGATGATGTCACTTCTGTGTGATGTCATCATGTTAGGGACACCCCCTCCAGTAACACCCCCCAAAGTCCCCACTAGGGACCTTGAGGGGACCTGGCAACCCTAGCTGTCTCTGACCAATATTGGTGCCGTAGAAGAAATTTAGGGGTTGCAGAAAAGTTTTTGGTTTAAGATATCGCGGTCTTAAGGGATGCTTGCTCTTCATGGGCTGTTTCTTGACACAGTGTTGATGGCCAGTCAGTCTTCAGGTGGGGAAATTGTACTGTTGCAATTTTTCTGTTCTCAAAAGAGGCGCTTTGGAGTTGTCTGAGTTTGCTACTCTGACGTGAGCAATGATACATGCAAGGCAGTTGCCTGGAGTATTGCAGATTTACTCTAGAGTGGCCCACCCAACAGGTAAGAAACCCCAGTCCTAATATACCTGAGTCATTTTGGCAGAGGGTCCTTTGATGACTGTGTTTCATATCATGTCATCCTCCAGAGCCATGACAGCCTGGCTAGCCCAATCTTGTCAGATCTCAGCTGGGTTGGCCCTGATGAGTATTTCGATGGGACACCAGTCCAATGTTCCCTCAAAGCTGTGGAGTCTTGTGAGCAAAAATTCTACTTTGTGAGCTCCTGGCATTAAAGTTGTGAGCGAGCGATTTGGCTGCTGCATACATTAGTTTGCTTTGGAGTCATCCTTCCTGAGCTAAGACAAAAATGTGTGAGCCGGAGGCTAAAAAACTGTGAGCTGGCTCACACTAACCCGGCTTAGAGGGAACACTGGACACCACCAAGGAAGACCAAGGTCACAATGGCAAACCACCTCTGAACATCTCATGCCTTGAAAACCCAGTGGGGTCACCATAAGCCAGCTTGTGACTTAAGCAAAAAAATCAAATAAAACCCTACAGTGTTATGTAGCAGTTAAAGTGTCATACTGGGATCTGGGAGACACAGGTTCAAATCCCCACTCTGCCATCAAGTTTCCTGGGTGACTTTTGCCCACTCCCTCTCTCAACCTAACCCATCTCACAGGGGTATTGGGAGGGTAAAATGAAAGGAAGGAGACCAGTGTGTGCCGTCCTGGACTCTTTGGAGGAAGGGCAGGATGAAAAGGTATTAACTAAACCTTTAGAAAGTTATCAAACAACTGACTTCTCAGCCTTGGGGAAATGACTCTTTACTGTGCACAGTGTATTTATTCATTTATTTGATTCAATTTTTAGGCTGCCCTTCCCTGCAAGCAGGACTCGGGGTGGCTCACAACAGGGGGAAACACACAATAAATAGATTAAAACCCTACAATAAAATGCACACGACATCAGCAATAAATAATCCATTCCGAGATGGCGATCTCCCCCCCCCCCCAGATCCCCCCCCCCAGATTTCACAAGCCTCAGAGGGTATGAGACTGCCAGACTACAGGCTATACCGTCGCTGTCCTCAACCGAATGCCTGGCAGAACATCTCTTCCTTACCTGTCCTGCAGAAAGGTAACAATTCCTGCAGGGCATGGATGTTCTCCAGGAGAGAGTTCCACCAAGTAGGGGCCAAGGCTGAGAAAGACCTAGCCCTGGTTGAGGACAGCCAGATCTCTCTTGGGCCGGAGAGCCCGTCGGATCTCTCTTGGGCCAGGGACCACCAGGAGGTGTAATGCTGTTCTGGGGGCATAGTGAGCTGGGTTGAGACCAGGCATCCTTTGTTGCTATTCTAGCTGCACAAAAAAAAATGGATCCCTTTCTTAAGCCTATTAAGAAATAGTTCTCCACTTAACAAGCCCTGTGGCCAGAGGTCATTTTTGGGGGAATCGCGGGGGATCGCAGTTCCATCCAAGAAGCCTATTGCATCATAAGGTGGGAAATAATGAAATTGAGTCTACACACCTGTGTACCCAATCCCTCCTCATGTCTTTAAACATCTTCATACATCTTCCCCTATTTAGAAGAAGGTTTCTCTAAATCCATATGCCTGCTCATCTACTAAGAATGGCAAATGTTCGTTCAATAATTAGCATGAAAGGAAGCTATCCATTTCCCCAACAGCTGCTTAAAACATCACATTTAGGTTCAAGGTAGCATGCACAGGTAATGGGTTGTTCTCTGCACAGTTAGGTTCAAGTGGAAGATATCAGATACCTTGGGGGGGGGATGCAGAAGTAGCTCAAAATTTCAGCAAGTCAAAAATACACAGATGCACCCTTATGACGATACCACCACTTTACCTCCTTGAATCTGTTTGTGCTTAATCTTAAAGGCTGCCAAGGCAAACGCAAATGCTACTACTGTTAATTTAGCATCCCTTGGTAAGGCAGAGGCAAAAGTTCACTCCACTTTTTTTAAAGCTCCAAAGTTCAGACCTAGATTGGTGGAACAGCAAAAGAAGGCACAATTTACAGCTGTTTTTGAAGTGACATCTCTTGAGGCATTGTTTGTTCCTTTTATCCCACCCTGCTGTGGAGGCCTAAGGGAGTGTACATAGAGTTTTGCAGCAGATCTTCCCTCTAGTCAATCACCAGCCCAGCTTATCCTTATTGAGGTTCCAGTGCCAGATGCTTTCACACGCCGACCTAGGACTAGGTGGTAGATTTGGTTGAACATCTGAAGGCACAGCTTAAAATTTGTATATTGGTGGTAGAAACTGCCATCAAGTCGCAGCAAGAGACGAACAGAAGTGGTTTGCCATTCTTATATATTGATGGTAGAAACTGCCATCAAGTCGCAACAAGAGACAAACAGAAGTGGTTTGCCAATTCTGCTTTTGGGACTGAAAATGGAAGAAGTCAATACAACTAAAAAGACTTTACTCTGGTACTTAATCACAACAGCGAGAATGATTTATGCACAATTTTGGAAAACAGAGAAAGTACCAGAAACTGAAGACTGGATACAAAAAGTTCTGTTCATGGCAGAAATGGATAAAATTACGAAAAAGTTGAATAACAAAGAAGACGACATGTTTTTTCAAGAATGGAGTGACTTTAAAATATATCTGGAAAAGAACTGGGATGTGAAACAAAACTTAATATGTTTAGATCAATATTAAGTCAAATGATGTTATCTTTAGATTGTAATGATAAGAAACTGATGTAGTTGATGATATGAAGTAATTTGGAGTTGGGGTGGAAGCATTGCGGGAAGCCATTGGAGGGAAGGGAGGAATTGGGAATGGGGTAGACAATTGATAGAAAGAAATGTTTCAATGGTATATGATGTATTCCTGAGAAAATAAAAATTTGTTTACCAAAAAAAAAAAAAGTGGTTTGCCATTGTCTGCCTCAGCATAGTGACCCTGCTTAGCTTCCAAGAGCTGATGCGATTGGCCTAGCCCAGGTCATCCGGTCAGGGCAAGCTTGTACTTCCTTTATTTGACATAATCTTTAATATTTTAAAAAGTGTATAATTTAATGATCCGTAAAGTTGTGTTTGTGCTGGTGCAAGGTTGTTATGTGCCCTTCGGCTATTTGGAAAGGTCAGGATTTTAATCCCAAGGGAAACAAACAAGGAGATAAGCAGCCCCCTTTCTATTTCTGTTGTTAGCCTGGATCGGGAAGAATCTTTGAGTGGTGGCCAGCGGCGTTTCTGAAGATCGGAGTGGAAATTACCAGACTTAGCTTGGCTTATGTTGCTTTCGCAGGTCGTTTTTGGAAAAGATTTTCTGCTGCAGAGAAACATCCTCTCCCCCTCCAACTGATGGTTTTATCTGTCTCCTTTCAGGTGGCTCTGCTCTGGCTGGAAGAAGCAGCTTTTGTGTTAACCTGCAAAGAAAGGGCAGAGGGGAGAGTTTCAAAAGGCAAGCAGCTCCCAGAGCACACTCCATAGTAAGGACTGCATTTCCATAGTTTTCTCATACACACAGCAGAGCAGATTGATTTCCATAAGTTGAACGAACAAACCGAAAGCTACTTTGCACATAAAATTGACAGGGAACAAACTTATTGACATTTTAAAGGAGGCAATATCCAAATATTTTTAATGGAACCATATATTAAAAATAACCCTCCAGAAGCCTGCATTTGGAAGGTGTGCACATAGCAATATTTCTTACTCTTTCTTTCTCTCTCATATACACACATGGTTTTGTTTTGCGTTTATAAGGAACTTGCATTGGCTGAAGGATAGCAAAATAAATAAGCTTTATGGCGGGAAATGCTGTGATGTAAAGCTGTCTCCTTCTCTGATGAATGAAGCAATTTCAGGATACTTTAAGGGTATTAAGGTTCTTGGAAGAAATATATTCTTGTGCCATTTAACAATTTAACTGATTAGTTTTTAAGATGTGTCATACGTTTAAAAAAAAACGCCAGGCCACCTAAAGATTATTTGTACACAGAGTACGTGTTATTTCCAATGGATGTGTGAAAAAAGCTCTCTGTTCCCTCACTTTCTTTCCCCTGCATGTAAGCTTTTTCCTATCCTCTCTTTTCTGTGCACATCATAAAATCATAGAAGCACAGAGTTGGAAGGGACCTCCAGGACTAGAGGACCCCGGAGGTCCCTTCCAACTCTATGATTCTGTGATTCATATATGTGAACACGCATACACACACACCTCTGTGCTATCTCCTTGGGCTCCTTTCCAATCTCCTTGCCTCTGTTACCCAGCCCTTTGTTTTCTCCTCTCCACTTTTTCTCCACGCCCCTGCTTCTCAGGCTACAGATTCGGTCGCCAACATTCCTTCTGCCTAAGGTTGCCAACTCTAGGGTCAGAAATTCCTGGAGATTTGGGAGTGTAACCTGTGGAGGGTGGGTTTTAGGAAGGGGAAGGACCTGAGCAGGGTATATTGGTACAGAGTCCACCCTTTAAAGCTGCCATTTTCTCTAGGGAAACTGATCTCTGTTGCCTAGAGATCAGCTGGAATTTCTAGAGATCTCCAGACCCCACCTGGAGATGGGCAGCTCTACTTCTGCCATTTGGCCATGACCAGCCCCCTCCCCCTCCTGCTCTGTCCTTTGGCTCCCCCTCCCTCCTGTTTGATCCTCCCAGCCTTCATCCATCTGGTCTTCCTAACAAGGGTAGCTCAAGGAAAGCATCAAGCCAGTGTGCCACAGTAGTGAAAAAGGCAAACTCTTTGCTGTGGATTATTAGGAAAGGGACTGAAAATAAAACAGCCAGTATTATAATGCCCCTGTACAGATCTATGGTGCAGCTTTATTTGGAATACTGTGCTGTTCTGGTCACTGTATCTCAAAAAGGACATTGCAGAGCTGGAAAAAGTAGAGAAGAGGGCAACCAAGACTATTATGGGGTTGGAGCACCTTTCTTATCAGGAAAGGCTTAAAAATCTGGGACTATTCATTTGAGAAAAGCATAACTAAGAGGGGACATTATAGAGGGACAGAGAACTTTTTTCTCCCTCTCCCAACATACTAGAACTTGAGGGCATCCTGTGAAGTTAATAGGCAGTAGATTCAGGATGTACAAAAGGAAATACACCTTCACACAATGAGCCAGAGGATGTAGTGATGGCCACAGCCATAGACAGCTTTAAAAGGGGATCTGGCAGATTCTTGGAGAAAAGGTTTATCAGTGGCTGCTACCCATGGTAACTAAAGGGAACCTCCCCATTCAGAGGCAGTAAACCTCTGAATAACAGTCCCAGGAGGCCAGGCTAGATGGACCACTGGTCTGATCCAGCAGAGGTCTTTTTATGTTCTTACAGTCTGGAAGCCAGTTTGGTGTAGTGGTT